ATTCGGTATTGATGGAACGTATCTCAAAATAATAAGAGCTATTTATGACAAACCCACAGCCAATATCATACTGAATGGGCAAAAACTGGAAAAATTCCCTTTGAAAACTGGCACAAGACAGGGATGCCCTCTCTCACCACTCCTATTCAACATAGTGTTGGAAGTTCTGGCTAGGGCAATCAGGCAAGAGAAAGATATCAAGGGTATTCAGTTAGGAAAAGAAGAAGTCAAATTGTCCCTGTTTGCAGATGACATGATTGTATATTTAGAAAACCCCATTTTCTCAGCCCAAAATCTCCTTAAGCTGATAAGCAACTTCAGCAAAGTCTCAGGATACAAAATGAATGTGCAAAAATCACAAGCATTCTTATACACCAGTAACAGACAAACAGAGAGCCAAATCATGAATGAACTTCCATTCACAATTGCTTCAAAGAGAATAAAATACCTAGGAATCTAACTTACAAGGGATGTAAAGGACCTTTTCAAGGAGAACTACAAACCACTGCTCAGTGATATGAAAGAGGACATAAACAAATGGAAGAACATACCATGCTCATGGATAGGAAGAATCAATATCGTGAAAATGGCCATACTGCCCAAGGTAATTTATAGATTCAATGCCATCCCCATCAAGCTACCAATGAGTTTCTTCAGAGAATTGGAAAAAACTGCTTTAAAGTTCATATGGAACCAAAAAAGAGCCCGCATCTCCAAGACAATCCTAAGTCAAAAGAACAAAGCTGGAGGCATCACGCTACCTGACTTCAAACTATACTACAAGGCTACAGTAACCAAAACAGCATGGTACTGGTACCAAAACCGAGATATAGACCAATGGAACAGAACAGAGCCCTCAGAAATAATACCGCACATTTACAGCCATCTGATCTTTGATAAACCTGAGAAAATCAAGAAATGGGGAAAGGATTCCCTATTTAATAAATGGTGCTGGGAAAATTGGCTAGCCATAAGTAGAAAACTGAAACTGGATCCTTTCCTTACTCCTTATACGAAAATTAATTCAAGATGGATTACAGACTTAAATGTTAGACCTAATACCATAAAAACCCTAGAAGAAAACCTAGATAATACCATTCAGGACATAGGCATGGGCAAGGACTTCATGTCTAAAACACCAAAAGCAACGGCAACAAAAGCCATAATTGACAAATGGGATCGAATTAAACTAAAGAGCTTCTGCACAGCCAAAGAAACTACCATCAGAGTGAACAGGCAACCTACAGAATGGGAGAAAGTTTTTGCAATCTACTCATCTGACAAAGGGCTAATATCCAGAACCTACAAAGAACTCAAACAAATTTACAAGAAAAAAACAAACAACCCCATCAAAAAGTGGGCAAAGGATATGAGCAGACATTTCTCAAAAGAGGACATTCATACAGCCAACAGACACATGAAAAAATGCTCATCATCACTGGCCATCAGAGAAATGCAAATCAAAACCACAATGAGATACCATCTCACACCAGTTAGCATGGCAATCATTAAAAAGTCAGGAAACAACAGGTGCTGGAGAGGATGTGGAGAAATAGGAACACTTTTACACTGTTGATGGGAATGTAAACTAGTTCAACCATTGTGGAAAACAGTATGGCGATTCCTCAAGGATCTAGAATTAAAAGTACCATATGACCCAGCCATCCCATTACTGGGTATATACCCAAAGGATTATAAATCATGCTGCTATAAAGACACATGCACACGTATGTTCATTGCGGCACTATTCACAATAGCAAAGACTTGGAATCAACCCAAATGTCCATCAGTGACAGACTAGATTAAGAAAATGTGGCACATATACACCATGGAATACTATGCAGCCATAAAAATGGATGAGTTTGTGTCTTTTGTAGGGACATGGATGCAGCTGGAAACCATCATTCTCAGCAAACTATCGCAAGAACAGAAAACCAAACAGCGCATGTTCTCACTCATAGGTGGGAACTGAACAATGAGATCACTTGGACTCGGGAAGGGGAACATGACACACCGGGGCCTATCACGGGGAGCAGGGAGGGGGGAGGGATTGCATTGGGAGTTATACCTGATGTAAATGACGAGTTGATGGGTGCAGCACACCAACATGGCACAAGTATACATATGTAACAAACCCGCACGTTATGCACATGACCCTAGAACTTAAAGAATAATTAAAAAAAAAAACATGGGCTAGCAACTATTTCATGCGCATTTCTCCACGGGTCAGTGTAAGCCAAGGGAAACTTATTGAGTCAAAGTTAGAATTTAGACACCTTTATTATCTTGCTTTGCTTGTGAACTTGATTTTTCAATACGATTAGTGAATCTATTCTTTGAAAAGTAACGTCATGTGGGCATTTTCACTCTTTCACCAAACAAGCTAGTATGGAAGTGAATTTGTATGAATTTGCATATATTTGTTATTTGTTAGAGCATTTGTACGCTGAGTTTGTGCTCATCATTATAAAATTATCATGAGGAATAGTTTTGGTACAGTCATGTGTTGCACAACATTTTGGTCAACAATGGGCTGCATGTGTAAAGGTGGTCCCATAAGACTAATAGAGCTAAAAAATTTCTGTCACCTAGTGACATCATAGCCTAATCTTATAGTGTAATACATTACCCATGTGTTTATGGTGATGCCACTGTAAACAAACCTACTGTGCTGCCAGTCATATAAAAGTATAGTGTATACAATTATGTATAGTACATTATACTTTATAATGGTAATAAATGACTATGTTACTAGTTTATACTATGTTACCAGTAAATTCTAGTATAATATTTACTATACTATACATTTTATTGTTATTTTAGAGTTTTCTCCTCTAGCTATAAAAAAAGTTAACCGTAAAACAGCTTCAGGCAAGTCCTTCAGGAGGTATTCCAAGTAAGGCATTGTCATCATAGAAGATGACAGTTCCATGCATGTCATTGCCCCGAAGACCTTTCAGCTTCCAGTGGGACAAGATGTGGAGGTGGAAGACATGATATCGATGACCCTGTCTCTGTGTAGGCCTAGGCTAGTGTGTGTGCATGTCTTAGCTTTTAACAAAGTTCAAAAAGTTAAAAGTTGTTTTTAACAGAAGAAAGCTTATAGAATAAAGATACGTAGAAAATATTTTTGTATAGCTTTACAATATATTTTGTATAAAATATCTTATATTTGTGTTTCAGCTAAGCGTTGCTATACAATAGTCAAAAAGTTTTAAAACATTAAAAGTTTATAAAGTAAAATTGCAGTAAACTAAGGTTAATTTACCATTGAAGAAAGAAACTATTCTAAATAAACTTAGTGTAGTCTAAGCATACAGTATGTATAAAGTCTACAGTAGCGTAATGTCCTAGGCCTTCATATCCACTCACCACTCACTCACTCACACAGAGGAACTTTTAGTCCTGCAAGCTGCATTCATGGTAAGTGCTCTATACAGGTGTACCATTTTTTACCTTTTATACCATATTTTTTATTGTACCTTTCTTATGTTTAGATATGTTTAAATATACAAACACTTATCATTGTGTTACAATTGCCTACAGCAGGAGTTCCCAACCCTGTGTCTGTTAGGAACTGGGCCACATAGCAGGAGGTAAGCTGCAGGCAAGCAAGGAAAGCTGCATTTGTATTTACAGGGGCTCTCCATCTCCCACGTTACTGGCTGAACTCTGCCTCCTGTCAGATCAGTGGTAGCATTAGATTCCTATAGGAGCATATAACCCTACCGTGAACTGCACATGCAAGGGATCTAGGTTGCGCACTCCTTATAAGAATCTACTGCCTGATGATCTATCACTGTCTCCCATCACCCCCAGTTGGGACCGTCTAGTTGTAGGAAAACAAGCTCAGGACTTCCAGTGATTCTACATTATGGTGAGTTGTATAATTATTTCACTATGAATTACCATATAATAACAGAAACAAAGTGCACAATAAATGTAATGCACTTGAATCATCACAAAGCCATCTTCCCCACCCCCTGTCCATGGAAAAAGTATCTTCCAAGAAACCGGTCCCTGGTGCCAAAAAGGTTGGGGACCGTTGGCCTATAGTATTCAGTACAGTAAAATGCTGTACAGGTTTGCGGTATAGGAACAATTGACCATTCCATCCAGGGTAGCTGTGTAGTAAGCTATACTATCTGGATGTGTACAAGTATACCCTATGATGTTCACAACTGCATCGCCTAAGGATGCATCTCTTCAACTTCTCACCGTGGTTAAGAGATGCATGACTGTATTTATTTTCAATTTCCAGTCAGCTAGGAATCACATTCCTGTAACTACTTGATTGGGTATTTTTGGTTGTTTGTTCACCAGTATAGCAGGCAGGCTTTTAAGATTAATAAATCCATAAATTAGATTAACATATTGGACCATGTTAATGGTTGGTGCTATCAGGAATGGAGACTTACTAGGAAGAGTTTAGTGCATGTTGGAGGAAAGTCAGGAAAAAAAAAAAAAAGGCTAAAAGTAACACCTGTGAAGTAAGGTGAAAGGGCCTGGAGCTATTTAGCCAGAAATGAGTTGTGATATAACTGTCATATATATGGATCAGAATATGACTAATAATTGTTCGTCTTTGCTGAAATCTGAAAAGAAGAACGTTCAAGGCTAGTTTAAGTGATGTATATTTAATACTGAGAAGAAAAGCCATGACAGTTGATGGACAGGACGTAAGAATACTTATGATGGGATACATCTCTTGGGAACAGAAAAAGAGCTTTACATGTAGCAATCTTCTCTGTCATGAATGAGGACAGGTCCTGCCTTAAGGCAGAGAGTTTACTAGTTGGCTTCCACAAGGCCCTTCCAGAACTGTAATTCTGAGCCACTTCTGTTACTGGCCTTCAGATGCTGAGATCGAACTCGACACAGCCAAGTATCTGCTCTTTCAGGAGCTCCAGCAGTGCCACCAGCAGCGACAACCGCATCTATTCCAACTGAAGACTTCAGTCAAAGGTGAGTCAGGTCAGTGTGAACCTGGGCGCTTCCTTTTCCTCCAGCTCTCACTGGGTCCAGGCAAAGGAGCCCTAAGGGATCGGCGACCACAGGACTCCCTCCCTGGCCACCAATACAAGCTTTGACAGAGGGATGGCTGGTTAGCTGGTGCTAGGTGGGAGGGACTCGCCACGGAGACGCGCTCAAGGAGGGATGAGTTGCGCCACCACCACCTAGGTCCCTCTCTCGCTATCCGGCGGGGCCGCCCGGACCCAGGTGCTCCCAGGGTGCGCCTGGCGCCCGCCATCCCATAGTCAGCGTCCCGCTGCGCACGGTCTCCCTCCAGCTCCGGCCCCCGCGGCAGGGCGCGTGGGATGATGCGCGGGTCCTTGTGCCTTCCCCAAGCTCCAGCATCCGGAGCCGCCCTAGCCGGCACCGCGGCAGCCACAGCCTGGGAGGGAGAAAGGAAAGAGGGAGGGCGGCGGGAAAGGCTTGGCGCGGGAGGAGGGCGGGTGAGGAGGAAATTAGCTAGGGGGAGGGAGCCTCTCTCCTCTGCGGTGCCGCTCGTCTCCCTCCGGCGGGCGGCGACTCCGGGTTCTCCCTTGCGCCCTCACGCCGCTGCTCGCCCCCTTCCCCGCCCACCGTCCCTGAGAGCGCGGGCGGCGGCGGTGGGCGTGTGCGCGCGTGAAGGACGCCGCCTCTCTCTCGCTCCTGCGTTCGCAGGCGGCGGCTGGCGGCCGGCTTCTCGCTCGGGCAGCGGCGGCGGCGGCGGCGGCTTCCGGAGTCCCGCTGCGAAGATGCTCAAAGTCACGGTGCCCTCCTGCTCAGCCTCGTCCTGCTCTTCGGTCACCGCCAGTGCGGCCCCGGGGACCGCGAGCCTCGTCCCGGATTACTGGATCGACGGCTCCAACAGGGATGCGCTGAGCGATTTCTTCGAGGTGGAGTCGGAGCTGGGACGGTAAGGCGCGGGCTCCAACTGGGGAAGCCCGCGGCGTGCACTCAGGGTTGTCCCTTTCGCAGCGACCGCTCCGAGAGTGCGGGAGCCTGCCTCCGTGCCCTTCGATTTCTCCCCGCCTAGTTAGTGCCTGGGAGAGAGCTAACCTTCATTCAGGTGCGGCTGGAGTGCTTCCCACCCCACCAGAGCGCCTAGGCCGGTGCAGCTGTAGGATGAGCCCTCCCTCCTTCTCGCAGACTGCCACTTCCCTTGGGTGACAGCTCCCGCCGCACGTGGGCCCTGCTTTCCCAATTGATGTCTTTGCTCACGATTATGGCTTGCCAGAGGGTCCTGTTTGTCTAGTTATTTTTTGGGGTGGGGGCCGGAGGGTGCTCCTCCAAATCAAGACAGAATTATTAAATTAGATTCTTCCTCCTTCCCCTCGTCAAGCTCTCCAAAGCAAGTGACACTAGAAATTAAACTTAAATACTAGCTTCCCTGCAGAGTCTGCTCAGGAGTGAAGGGAGAAATGGATCATTTAAGAGAGTTGAAGGCAGAATAATGAACTAGTGTGGCTTTAAAAGAGAAAGCAGCATATGGGATCCAGGCAGTGGTAATTAGTGAGAATGCTGCTGCTTCTCTTCTTTCATGGGCTGGAATGATTTATTTAAATTATATATGCAACAGACCATCTCCCTAGGATTGCAGGTATGTCCCCTATCCCTCCTCTGAAGATCCAAACAGGTAGCAGTTTGGCCTTCTGAATGATTCCATATGCTTTCGTATTTGTATCCATTGAAAATTATAGTTTTCTTTCCCTTCCTTTTTTTCGTCTTTTCTCCCTGTTATCCATAGGTAAGGAGATTTGTTTTCAACACTTATTTTAGATCCAGGCTCTTTAGTATAGGGAATCTGAAGATGTAATTTCAACGATTCACAAGTTGCAGCTTCTGTACTTACTACTTTGCAATTTCGTTTTCCATTCTCTTTTTGCTCGATATAGTTTTGCTAATAGCCTTTTCATTTTTTTCAAGCCACTGGAGGATTCAGAGCAGGATTCTGGATATTGGTATTTAGTGGGAAGATGTAGTGGTCACTGCCCACTCTCCCCCCAATTTGCTACTACTATAGAAGGCTCATTGAATATAGATGTGTAAAATAGGCAAACTTCTGATGAAAATTTGGTAATTTGTCACTGTTAAAAATGTTTTGAAGTATTTGAGCACTGAATAATATATACATAAACGTCCATTTTTGATCAAGTTTTTCAGTATTCATCTGAAGATCTATATGTAGGTGGAAATGAAAGGACAATGATGTCGATTTTTGTAAGGTCCAAAACCTGCCTGTTACTAATTGTATGATGCGTGACAATGTAACCATGTAGACCTCTGAGTAAAGAGATGATCTACTTAAAATTGTTTACTTGGTGTTTTATAAACTGCTGTATAGTAGAGGAAGTGCCTGATGCTGCTGCAGGGACTGTCCCAGCAGCACGTCTGTTTTCAGAGTAACATTAACCCTAGATGCCTCAAATAGGCTGACTTAGCCACACACTTTGTCTTTATGAATAAGCTTCACCATCATGAAACTCAAGAAATTCTCTTTAATTTGAGAAATGGGAAAAAAATAAACTGCCAGTTGCATACTTCTATGAGATGGTAGCCTGCATTGAAAAAAACTAAGAAATTTGAAGTTTGGGTTTTTTATTTTTCAGTTCAGAATTACGTGTTGCAGTAGATTTTGGAGGACAAATATTAATTAGTTATACAGAAACTTCTCAATTTATGAAGGTGTTATGTCCCAATAAGCACACTGTAGTTGAAAATACCAGAAATTGAAAATGCATTTACTACACCTATGCTAACAAACATTGTAGCTTAGCCTAGCCTACCTGAAACATGCTCGGAACACTTAATATTAACCTACATTCGGGCAAAATCATCTAACATAAAGCCTATTTTATAATAACTGTTAAATACTGCATACAGGTGGGATTTTGTAGACATGGTGAGATATGAAACACAAAACACAATATTAAAAAAACACTGGCAACACGGAACACTCTAGAGTTCCGGTTGTTTACCCTCCTGTGGTTAACTGGGAGCTGTGGCTGGTGGCTGCTGCCCAGCATCAGAGAGAGTATCCTACCACGTATTGCTAGCTCAGGAAAAGATCAACATTTGAAGTATGATTTCTACCGAATGGTATCACTTTTCCACCATCATAAAAGTCGAAAAATCGTAAGTTAAGCCCATCCTGTCAGAGACCCTCTGTCTATACATTGCTAAGATTCTCGCTCTGTTATCTAGTCTTTTGATTACTGTAAAAGATCACAGAATTAAACTATGTTGAGGAACAATCAAAGCTAAAATGTCTTACTTAGTCTCTCTTTGTCAACAGTAAAGCGTATTGTTAGGTAAGTTCTCTGTAGATGGCAGCATTCATGAGGTGCATGCTTACTCTGGTTGGCTGAGACTTTGAGAAGTATTTCAATATCAGAAATTTTTAAGTAAACCTAAAACGTAAAGCAACTACTATTCCAGATATAATTATTAAGAATCGATAGAGCCAGAGAATGCAGCAGAATGATCATCATAGATACTGGCTGAGTAACTAAAGTTTTCTTCCTTCCTACACTAGAGATGGAGTTGAACTCAGGTCGTTAGTTTCAACCCTTTACTCTCAGCCTTGGGCCAAATCCGCCTGCCAGTGTGACTCTAATTCATTAGTAATGCAGATGTCATTAATATGCTAAGAGAACAGTGCTTGTGGTTTTGCTGTTATGGTTAGCTCTAGAAACTAGACAATCTCTACCAGAATTAGTGACTTGTTGGCTCCTCCATTACAATTGTCTGTTGTAAAGTAGTGACTCCTGACTGCAAGAAGATTGGACTGTGACCATTGGGGCGATACACCCTGAGGATGTGTTTGGGAACTCAAGGTGAGCTAAACTCCCAAGGCTATATCCACCTGAAGCCCCTGAATAGTGCTGGCAAAGGCAGGTGCTGGCAGCACTGATCCACATGCAGCCATTGAGACCAAGGCAGATGTCATCACTTTCTTTTGACGGGGAGGGTATAGGGTAGAGGGGCTAATTAAAAGTATCAGGCAAAGTAATTTTCCGAAAATCACATTTCAAGACACTGTTTTGTTCATAGAGTTTGTCAAAAAGTTTACAAAAATCATGACACATACACACATTCAACTCTGCTTAAAAGTACGAATTGGCCATGATCCTATTAAGGGCTCCAGATCCTCGAGAGCAGTTGGTCTTTTGCCCAGTGATTTGAGAAACTGGCATTTTAAAGGCTTTTCTGAGGGAGAAGGGAGCTGCCTCTGGTCCAGATCCCGCCCAGTGGTTTGGCACGTGGAATGACAGGAAGTGGCCCAGCCTGTTTGGTGGTGCAGATTTCATCTCTGCATGCAAACCCGTGTCCTGTTTTCAGTTGTCCCACCTTTAGTTTCTCCCTGTTGTTCCATGTTGAAAGAAAGTTGATAAGAAAACTAGATGTATTCCCAGACATACAAATCCAAGGAAACCAAACCTAATGAAAGATAATTAGGACAAGAGAAGAATGTGTTAAACTATTTTGAAACCTTTTTTTTTTTTTTTTTTTAAATTTGGTTCCCATTCCAGTTACTTTAGTTTCTTTAGGCTAGGGACTTTGCATATACTCCTCCCCCCTGCAATGTAATTTTAAATAATACATTTCTGTGTCACATTTATATATACACATTTATGTATACACAATTATGTGTATACCTTTATAATTTTAAATACATTTGTTTGTCAACTCAATTAAACTAATTATATAGGATCCCTTGCTATATGTATTATTGTATAGGAACCAAGTAAATTTCGATAGTAAGCGGTGTGTGTGTGTGTATAAAAGAGAGACAATTTTATAAAACAATATTTATTCTTATTATCAGCAATGCACTTTAATATTTTCTATTATATGCTGTTTGATTTCATCTATTTCATTTAAAAAAGTTGGCTGAACCCATGTGATTTCACATCCCACTATTGGGTTGTGACTCAGTTTGAAAAGTGCTGTTTTAGGCCATAAATCTATATGTGACAGATTAAGCTATGAGGCAGTCTTTTAAAGAAATTCCCTGCAGACCAATTGGCAACATTGGGTGACCTTTTGGCACAGCACTGTAGAGAAAATTTCTCCTATCTTTGCCTCCAGGTCATTATTGATTTTCCCCTTCCAAACATTTTGGAAAAACTCTGGTGTCTCCCCAAGGTCTACTGGGCACACAGTAATCTGAACTGGCTAAGAGTGCCAGGGGCTGTGTTGGAAAGGAACTCAGAGGCTGAGAAGTGGTATATTCTACATGGTGATGCATATTCTGGCTCCAGGGCATGGTGAGCAAATGCTTTCTATAAGGAAACATGAAAGTTTGCATTTTCTAAGAGAAGTGCTTCAGCCAATGCTCTTAGCTTGTCGTAGTGCTCTTGGCTGTGGTTGATATAACAAGATGTCTTAGACTGGGTGGCTTAAACAACAGACATGTATTTCTCACAGCTCTGGAGGCTAGGAAGTCCAAGATCAAGGTCCCAGCCAATGCATTTCCTCAGTTAGGACTCTCTGTTTTGCAGATGGCTGCCTTCTTGCTGCGTCGTCAGAAGGCAGAGAGGAAGAGAGAAAGAGAGGGGAAGAGAGAAAGAAACCAAGCTCTCTGGTGCCTCTTCTTACAAGCATACTCATCCCATGATGAGGGGTTTAGCTGCATAACCTCATACTAAACATAATTACCTTCCAAAAGCCCCACCTATAAATACCATCATATTGGGGTTGGAATAAGGCTTCAACATGTAAATTTTGAGGGGACACAATTCAGTCCACAGCATGGTTGCTGAAGAAACAGATTCTCCTTTTTTTTGGTCAACCCATTTCCTAAACCATTCTTGTGGCTAGAGCTTCTTAGGTCCTTGATTTTTCCCTGACACCATGCTTTAGGGCCCCACAGCCTATGTAGATAGGTATACTGCTGGCTTCTGATCTCTTGCT